TCTGCGGACCGCTCCAGCTTGAGGATAAACTTTTGGTTACCCACGGGCCGGACTTTATTCGATCTGAACAGCAGCCTATACCAGGGAAGAACTATGGAATAATTCATCGCACCGCGGGTCATTCAAACAGTCCCGAGGCCAACCCATGGGCTGGGATATAAACGAGCAGGCCAAGCTAGCCAAGCACTTCGTTTGCTTCTCTCCCCTTGGCGAAAATCATCTATGCTGGCAGCACTTTCTCTCTTGGCCCTAGTTCTTCCCGCGATTGCCTTCATCGAATGCAACGTGCTTGATTACGGTGCTTCCAGTTTTGTTCGACAGACAAAACTTCGTCTAACTCGTCTTTCAGGTGCTGTCGCGGACAACAGCACTGATCTCGGCCCGGCGCTCACAGCGGCGTGGACCAAATGTGTTATCCCACAGGTCAAGACGACAGTTGCGACGGACGTGCTGTTGTATGTCCCCTCCGGCAACTTCCTCCTCAAGTCGAACGTTGTCTTTGACGATGCTGCGAATTGGAACCTCCACATCGCGGGAAACATCTACCTCCCGTACATACCGACCCTGACGGGCACCATGCTCACCTTCGAGGTTCGCATCTATTTCACCCATGCGAGGATTCGGGTTCAATTTTAAAGCATGTGTGGGTAGAACTGCCAAAACATCCTCCTGAATGGCCCTGGTGCGATCTTCGGGAACGGGTAGTACAGTTATCGCTTCTATTTTACCTGCTTCGTGTACTTAATTCGCATCCTAGGTACCGTTACAGGCCAGGTGGCGATGTAAACGTGTCTGGTTGAACGTTCAATAGGTCCAGCGCTAAATCCTTCTTCTTCAGCTCACCCTGAACCCATCCCGACCGCGTCTCATCCGGTTCCAAAACTGCAACAAGTGCGTTCCGATCTTTCGTCTTGAATCAAACTTAACTTAACGATTCATCTTCAGTTGCGAAATCACCGCGGTGACGCTGTTCGATGCTCCGCAATTCCATGTCACCATCATCGGCAATAAGTGATATCAATATTTGACCCTTCCTACCGGAATCACCCTCACCGAGCTTATAGCAATGTCGCCCATGACATGGCCATCATCGCCAGCCACATTGGTGCGTTGAACTGCACAGTTCAACTTTCTTCATGGCATTTATTCTACCCAGGCGAAACCGACGGCTTTGACATGAGCGGCAACAACAAGTGCGATGTCTCACGCCGTTATGATACCTGCATTCAAACAATTACAGCTACGTGCATGATGTTTCCGTCGAAAACGGTGAGGATATCGATATTTAACTTACAAAACCTTGTAAACAATTTCGAACAGGCGACGAGGTTCGTTGTTAATTTCCGGCATATTGGGCTGTCAATTTATACCCCCTCAACAGTGCGTCACTGTCAAGACGCCGACGAACGTATGTTCTTTTGACCTGCATTGGACGCACCGCTGACGACATGATCAGGGATTTGTTGCGGAGAGAATTACATGCAAATTCACTGCGGGATGTAACATTGGGTCCTTCGGCGCAGGTTAAACTGACCGTTCTATCTACTCCCCACTTTATTTAATATTTCTCCGAACCCAGGCGACACAACCGTGAACGTGCAAAATGTGTTATACAGCGACGTGACAATCTCGAACTCAGATTCTGGAATCTCGATAAAAAGCTATCCTGATAACATAGGGATTGTCAAGAATATCACCTACACGGGGTTCACCATGGTGCGGGTGCTTCTATTGAAATGCTGCTAATCTGAGTATCTTTCCATATCCAGTCCGCTGCAGCGTATCCCATTTGTAGGTTTAGAAATCCTGCTCACCATCCCAATTTGCTAAAGCGAAAAACATCTACCCTAGATGTGAGCGCGTTCTGGTGCGTTTTCTGTACAATTCGGGCGACCGAATAATCTCAAATGATTAATATATAGGGCCGGAAATGGCGTGGACACCGGTAAACTGGCGATCTCGGACGTGAACTTCAACAACATCGTCGTATGTTAGGTTTCCATCATAATCATCCGGCGACCTCATGGGGTTCTAGGGAACGGGTACTCCAACTCGTCCCGCTGTCCTCCTGGATTGCAACAAGGCTACACCCTGCGAGAATATCAAGGTATCATTTATTCAGCGTTGGTCTGCCAACGTCGTGCTTACTGTATGCCCATACAGTTCAGCGGCATTTCTCTCTCGAATACAAAGCCTAATACGTTTACGAACGCTTGCGGATCAGGTGTCACCGGAATCCCTGCCTGCTGAGGTGCAATCAATTATATTTCGTAAACTACGGGCGAACTGTAATTCAACCGTTTTGGAACGTAGCGGGTTGTTTTTGCGTCCAACGTTTGTTTCTGTTTGCTGTAGCCTCCAAGAAGGCTAAACACGGAAGCGCATCCTTGCCGTTGATTGGCGATTTTCAACCTGACCTCGAGCATGCTAAATTTAGTCTCACATAGCAGCACGCTACCGGTACCGCGCCCAGGACTTACAATTGCCCACGCCAAGCACCTCCGATATGGATAAACTCTGGAAACCGCATTTCACCGGAGCGTATTCTCACCCCTTCGTTATAAATGTGGCCCGTAAACCGGATCTGGATCCTACCTGAACATTTTGCCGCAATGCTTTCTCGGGTGCTCGCTCTCGCTGCTCTTGTCCTTCCATCCACTGCGTTCATCACTTGCAATGTCTTGAGCTACGGTGCAGTGGCAGACAATACAACCGATCTCGGTCCGGCGCTCACTGCTGCGTGGAATAAGTGCGTCATCCCACAGACAACGACGGTGGCGACGGATGTGCTCTTGCTCGTGCCGGAAGGCAACTTTTTGCTCAAGACCAACGTTGTTTTCAATGGGGCGAAGAACTGGAATCTGCATATCACGGGCAACATCTACCTGCCGTTCATCGCTACGCTCACGGGAACAATGCTCACGTTCCAGGGGGGGCAGAACTCATCGTTCATTTTGTGTTGCTTAAACTCTGGCTTTCAGAATTGTCAAGACATCCTTCTTAACGGTCTTGGAGCAATTTTCGGGAATGGGTGCAGTATTATTTAATCAGTTTTCGCTTTATCAGCGCTAACTTGTACATCAGGTATCGTTACAGGCCGGGTGGAGCTGTAAACGTTTCCGGTTGAACATTTGACGGTTCACAGCTAAAACTTTCCTTTCCCTCAGCTCAACCTTCATCCCTCACGCCCTCATCCGTTTTCAGGATTGTAATAAGTACGTTTGATCGATTTTCGGTTGCTTCAGTATCTCACTTTTGAAGCTGCGAGATCACCGCCGTCACCCTCTACGACGCACCCCAGTTCCACGCTACTATGATCGGAAACAAGTCAGTTCAACAAACATTCAAATTCTCTGTTGCGTATTTCAACCCTGCATTCAAGCAACGTCGCCCACAATATGGCTATAATTGCCACTAACATTGGTTAGCTGGAGTTACAAAAGACTTGCAGTCTGCTAAATGTTAACGGAAACCGGTTATCACTCCAGGTACGACGGATGGATTTTCCGTCAGTGGAAATAATAAGTACAGTGCAATTCTTCTCTTATTAATCTCTCTTTGCTCATAATGAATACGTGAAGCCATGTGCACGACGTCAGCGTCGAGAATGGCAAGCACATTCAACTCCTGGTTATATTCCAACTCATTTTTATTTTGTAGGTGACGAGGTATGAAATAGTTAAAGGGCCCTGAGTCTCTGATTGAGGAGAAATAGTGTGTTACGGTGAAAACACCCGCCAACGTACGATAAACAACCATCTCGTTGGTTCTCTTGTTAATATGATTATTTAGGGTTTTCTCGGAGAAAATATCCGGTGCAAATTTACCGCAGGTCGGTCAAACTTCGCATATCGCGCCACTCACTCCTCAGATCAGCCGCTCTTTAGGCTGTAACATTGGCTCCTTCGGCTCCAGTATGGTCTAATATCAACGTCACCTGTAATCATGGCTGATTATTTGACTCGAAGCAAACACGGCAGTCGACGTCCGGAACGTCCGCTACAACAACGTCACAATATCCAACTCAAAGGCGGGTATTGAGATCAAATCCTATCCGAACATTGTTGGGACCATAACGAGCATCACATACACGGGCTTCACTTTTGTAAGCAAGGTTCTAATTTAAAATTAACCCGCTTACTTGCACGCAGACTGCGGCGGCGTACCCCAGGGCCCATGGGCAGGTGTATTTCTCCACGGCTTCATTCATATTGATATCAAAGTCAGCGATCAATTTGTTTTGGATGGGAGACGGGATAGATTCCGGGAAGCTGAGCATCACCGATGTCTCGTTTTCGAACATCGTCGTCATTCAATTTCCTTTTTTGGCGTAGATGGTTGAAAACGACGTGGCTGTGCAGGGATCAGGCACGCCAACACGTCCCGCTGTGCTCTTGACTGCTCTTGAACTGCAACAAAGCAACACCGTGCAGGAACATCAAGGTGGGTCGTTATCGCTTTATTTTATTTCAAACTTAGTTTAGTGGCATTTCCATCACCAATGCATTGGCCAACTCGTTCAAGAATGCTTGTGGGATGGGCGCGTCGGGAATTCCCGCATGTTGAGGGAAGGATGGCGGTAGATCTGGCGCTGTGTGCCTTCCGAATGAATCTCGTTGTCATTGCATTTGAAACTCGGCTGAACCTCTGGTGGCTGGTCGGCCAGTGCAAACAATGCATAATAATGTTACAGAATTCCACTGCCTTCAAGTATCACACTGATGGTGAAGCGGTTATCATGCTTTGATCATGCTTGCCTTCCATGTCATATCTCGCCCGTCAGATTACATTACTTATGTAGCAGCAAAAGCATCCGGCCATTTGGTGGTATTTCTTCTTCTTTCGGAGTGTTTGGGATAACAGGAATCTGCAGAAGCACTCTATTAGTCAGGGGTCAAACCTCAGCCTCTGTTCTATTTAAGCATCGAACCAACATCGAACAAGAAAGTTGATCTCGCCGTTGTTTCATCACTAGGCTCATTAGAAGCAAAGTATTTAGCACACCAATGGTGAAGCGGTTATCATGCTTGCCTTCCATTTATGTGAAAATTCTGGTAGCAAGCGGCAGGGGTTTGACTCCCCTTTGGTGTATATTTTCTTTCTTGCATCCCTCAATCCGCCCTCCGAATCGCAAGTTTCTTTATTTTCGCGATTACTACAGCTTCCTTTCTCCCCAGCAGTCGACTCAGCAGATAGCGCGCGAATTCCGTGATGGGTGCACTGCCCTTGCTTGCTCTTGCTCACTCCCCCCCCGCATTACATAGATGGTCCGAGCTAAGGCACATCTAAGTTTACAAAGGCCAGGCGTATTAATTGAATTATAATCTACTGTTCCTTCAAGAATTTTGCGTCCATAAAGGGATCCGAGTCCCCCGAAATCGTTGCATATACAGATAGGAACTAACATGGGTCCTGAGTTGATCTACAGTGCCCGTACTAGGCGACTTGGTTCAGCGACTCCGACATGTCCTAGGCCTGGTTCACTATCCTCATCCTAGTAAAAAACCAATTATCAGTTGGACACCCTTAGAAACTTGAAGAGAGGCTGACGAAACAGGACGTACTACGGCCGTGAGCTCGGACGAGGAAGTATGCGGTTCTGCCGGTGAGGATGATATCTGCAACTAATGAACGGGTGTAAGCTGGGGAGCAAAGTCAGATAGAATATCGCTCACCTAGCACCATCGGGAGATAGACATTGACGGTAGTTCAACTTTGGATGCTTTGAAAAATACAAATAGAAGGGGGTTGGTTGCCTAGCGTATGACGAGACTGGTTTGGCCGCTGTAGAGGATAAAGTCAAAGACCGTACACCCCCTATTTTGTGTCCGTGATCGACGTCCGGAGGGTAAGTATTAATGAATATAGCTGAATACTCCGTTACAACTTGTTGAAGCCGGATGCACAGAAAGGACCGATGTCCAAAACAGAGACGACTTGAATGTGAACGATTCGATGATAGCGAGGAAAATAGTGAGGAAATCCAAGGTCGACCTCATGGACATTGAAAGATACCAGAGCGTCAAGTGGATTAGAAAAATACAGCCAGAAGAGCACCCGAGAACTGCAGAAAACAAGATCTCAGCTCAGCGCATATATGTGTAGCGGCTCACTGAGACCGCTGCCACCGAAAAATCCTCGAGATTGTGGCTCCGCTGCCACCATGCCTTGATCCCTGTATCCGTATGAAGCTTCAGGAACGGTAGAAGAAGGTTTGTACCCGCGCTAGAATGTAGACTGAGGTACGCTTCGAGCATGATGCATGGTGCAAGACAAGCTGTAAGACGAGAACGTTATCGGCATAGCCACCGATAGTCTTATCTACACAGCCACCAGCTGCGTTTCTACTGACGCTCATGTCTCTGCATCCCTTCAGCAAGTTGCAGTGTTCTGGAAATAGGGCGGTAAAGGTGACGCAAGATATCTTGTTCCTTTGTTCGGGCTGTCTGGGAATGCTCCGAGTCCACGGCCGGTCAAGCGGCACATCTGTCAAGCAATTATTCCATTTCTTGAAGTCACAACCGACTGTTGGATGCAACAATATCAACATGCATCTACCCATAGGCGTGCTTATCTGGCTCTTCCCCTTGCTGTGGTAAACTTCACTACTCTAGCCCTGGCGGTACGATGGGCGAAGAAAGGCTTTAGATAAGGTTTCCTTGCCGGTTAGAAATTACATTTGGTCTTCAATTCGTGATATTGGACTCACAAGAAAGAACAGGAAACGACAGCCTCTTCCTGGTGATAAATTTTGTCGCAAGCACAATTGTTATCCCAATCACAACTGCTCATTCCTATATCTGCCCGGACCCTCCGCTCACAAGAAAGTCCGTGCCGAGGATGTCGCTGACGCGCCAGATGGCCGCCATTCTATTTTGAGCACGGCGCCACTGCCATGCATTCTGTGCCCTTTTCGAAGACAGAGGCTAGGCATCTCAGAGGTGCCTTGCGAATGCTTGGCTCCCGAACTAAGCAAGGAGCACTGGCGGATACCTTAAGGTCGTCAAACCGGTCAATGAAGAACGCCAGACAGAATTTGAGATTTTCACTAGCTACACACCAATTCAAGTCATTCGCGCACCCTTGGCAGACGTCCGTGGATACCGCGATTTAACGCGATTTCCTTGCCTCCGCATGTGACGGGTCGCAGAGCAGAATAGAACAGTAACGGCGGGCGGAGCTTGGCCGGAGGAGTCAGCGTAGCCGATCACCACACATGTACTTGTAGTCCCTGTCCAAATTCGTTTCAGCCAATCCTCTCTTGCACTCTTGCCACCACCACAAACTTGAGAAATCGAAACTTACTACACAAACCAAGAGCCCACAATGTCTCCAACTGCTGTTGCATCGAGCCCGACGAACGGGAATGGCAAATACCAGGTCACCAAGGCGAAGAACGGTGCTGCCCCTGTGCCCCACTTGACGTCGGCGGACGTGATTCAGCTCGAGCACGAGCACGGCGCCCACAAGTGAGTTTTCGATTCTCTCGATGCCCTAGGTGTGTTTTGTCGCCGACGAAACCAACGGCCTCCCACAGAAACCTTGCCGGTCGACATTGCGTCCTGGAAGGGCTCGGGTGGGAGTCACAAGCATGCTAGAAATCCAGAAGCTAGGAGGGACCAGCCATCTTTCGCCTTGCGTTCCGTCTTTTATACTCTTTCTGCCCTGTACGTGACTCATGCGCCTTTTTTGCGTCTAGCTACCATCCCTTGCCTGTTGTGTTTGACAAAGCCCTCGGAGCCAAGTGAGTGCAGCGCGTCTTGCATCCTCGCAAGCTCCTGACCAGTGCGCTGTTTTCAGAGTATGGGATCCCGAAGGCAAGGAGTACATCGATATGCTTTCCGCCTACTCGTGCGTGGCCAATGGCCATCCTGTTATTCTAATGCGGACCGATGACCGACTCTCTCACACAGCGCGGTTAACCAGGGGCATTGTCACCCCAAGATAGTCGCGGCGCTCTGCGAGCAGGCGGGCAAGCTCACGCTCTCCTCGCGCGCGTTCTACAACAGCGTCTTCGGGCGGTTTGCGCAGGCCGTGACGCAGATGTTCGGCTACGACATGGTGCTGCCGATGAACACGGGCGCGGAGGCGGTCGAGACCGCCGTCAAGCTCGCGCGCAAGTGGGCGTACATGAAAAAGGGCGTTCCCGAGGGCAAGGCTGTCGTGCTGAGCGTGGAGGGCAACTTTCACGGCAGGACGCTGGGTGTCATCAGGTGCGTATCGTGCTTGCTCGCTTTGTTTGCAGCGGCTCACGAACGGCTAGCATGAGCACGGACCCTGACAGCCGTACGGGCTTTGGACCGTATCTGGAGGGCGTCGGCCCTACGTTCCTCGACGGCGAGACCCTGCGGACAATTCGTTTCAATGACGTGACGGACTTGGAGCGTGCGCTCGAGTTGAACGGCAAAAACGTTGCCGCCTTCCTCGTCGAGCCCATCCAGGGCGAGGCTGGGTATGTACGATGTCCAAGATCCCTCTGTATCCACTTACACCAGTTTAGGATTGTTGTCCCTGACAATGGCTACCTCACGAAAGTCCACGCCTTGTGCAAGAAGCATAACGTACTCCTCATCTGCGACGAAATCCAAACTGTACGTCCTTCACAACGTCCTGATCTACCATCGCTAATCTGCTGGCAGGGCCTGTGCCGCACGGGCAAAATGCTCGCCTGCGAGTACGACAATGTGCACCCCGACATGATCCTCCTCGGCAAGGCGCTCTCCGGTGGCGGTTGGTATTCTCTCGTTTGTGGTGCTGCGCCCCGTGCTGACGCCCCTGTACAGTGTACCCCGTCTCTGCAGTCCTGGCCGACCGCGACGTCATGCTCTGCATCAAGCCTGGCGAGCATGGCAGCACCTACGGCGGGTAAGCTCCGTCCTGCCCCTTTCCGCCCACTCACTCACGATTCGTCGTTAGCAACCCACTCGGCTGCGCCGTTGCGCTCACCGCCCTGCGCGTCCTCGTCGATGAGCAGCTCGCGGCCCGCGCAATGGCCCTCGGCGACACCTTCCGCAACGCCGTGCGCGCGCTGCGCTCGCCGCTCGTGCAGACCGTGCGCGGGCGCGGGCTACTCAACGCAGTCGTGATCGACGAGACAAAGAGCGTCCGCGGGCGCACGGCGTGGCAGTTCTGTTTGCTCCTGAAGAGCCGCGGCGTGCTCGCGAAGCCGACGCATGTAAATATGTATGTTGCTGTTTTTCTCGCCTCTGGTTAGCAACGGGAGCTGACTTTGTGTGTCGCAGTGTGCGCTTCGCGCCCCCGCTGGTCATCTCGGAGGAAGACCTCCTGCGCGCCGTCAAGATCATCGGCGAATGCCTCGTGGACCTCGACCAGGTGCGTCTTCTTTCTCCCTTTTCGTACACACCCTCAGCTGCTAATGCAATGAAACGAAACAGCTCGAGGAGATCCCCGGCGAGGTCGAGAGCGAGGTGGGGCACACGGACCAAGTGACGAACTAAGGCAACGTAGCTTTGGCTTTGGAGTGAGTTCTGAACGGAAGACTCTGGACTAGTACTGCGAAGGAACGGACTGTGAACTTGAATCCATGTGTAGAACCTACTGTAACTCATCCGGGATCCTTGGGTTCCATTTGTACAAGTACCATAGCCAAATGTAATCATTCGAAACCCCTCAGTTGGTGTTTGATACGTACGTCAGGCTGACGATTCCGATCTGCCTGGTTCCAGCCTTCGGGGCGTTCACCAGCGCTGATATGTTTGATTCATTGCTTAAAGCAAATTTTATTGTGTAGGACCTAGAATCTGTGCGTTGCCAACCAGGAAAAAACGGGAACTCAAGATCTATTCTCCTTAAAGCACAGATGAGGGTGACCGGCGCTTCCCGTGCTCTCTGTTTTATAAACTCTTTCGGACTTAATGCATTTTTTGGAAGGATTCTCAGACAAGAATATACCTTTGGATGGGCAGACAAAACATCAAAAAGATATCCTTCTTGCCCGGTTCGAACGAGCGACACGTTAGTCTTGCGGCCGTTCGAGCCGGGCAACCTTCCGAGGCTTTGCGAGGAAGTTGCCAGGCTCGAACGGCCGCACCGAGCGCGGTAGCGCGAGGCCCAGGCGTGCACAGCGCCCCCGAGGGAGCCGTGCGACCGAGTGCGAGCGCATAGCGCGCACAGCGCGCCGATTGCGCAACTAGGACCATACGCGCGCAACACCCCCGCCCGACGATCACCCCATCACTATCCCTCGCTTTGACGTTATCGCCACTTCACCGCCACCATCGGCCCGTCCCCTTCGACCCGCTTCTTGACGTCGTCGCCGCCGCGCCTCCGCCCCTGTAATTGCTGGTTTGCCATCCTCGTTTGCCGCCATCGCGTCGTTCTGCCCGCTGGTCAGCGCATGTCCTCCCCATCACAAACGCGCAAGGCAACTTTCGAGAGCCAAGCCAGCGCTTGGAAGGGAGCCGTGCGACCGACTGCCAGGAGAGCACAGCGCCCGACACCGCGCACCCCGGGTCAGCCGGGCGATCTATCGGCCCCATCACTATACCCCGCTTTGACTGTTACTGTCACCTCACAGCCACCGTTACCATTCGCATCTTCGCTTCTGCTTGCTCCTGTCGCGCCACTATCCTATGTCAACCGAGCACGTATTTCGCGCGTGCGATCGCTCTCTGTCCAATCTCTGTCGCGGACGTCGAGACGGGGCATCAACTCTCACTGCTGGCCTCCACCGTAATATCAATCATGAAATTGGAGTTCTTCAATCCGACTTTAGCTCAGTTGGAAGAGCATCAGACTGTAATGGGTGAATCTGCAATTATCTGAGGGTCGCTGGTTCGATCCCAGCAAGTCGGAGTTTCTTTTTGGTCGCTCAACACTTCAATCACTTACCAAAACAGCAAAGTGATGACGTCACCAATTGTTTCTCTCCTTCAGCCTGGCCCATTGACATGCATATCTGATGCTAAATTCTTTGTACCTCCGTCAATGAGCCCATCCACACGTCGTGTCATTTCAAGTATCTCTACGGCTGCCTGATTGCCTCTACCGCAGGGGCGCTTCTCGGGCGGCTGTCTATTCAACACCGACACCTTAACACGCTACATTATCACCTCCTGGATTTACGGACTGATGACGCAAAGAGGGGATATTTCACTGGACATTAATACTGGACGAATGTGGTGCTCTTGCTGTTCGTTACAACCGGATGCATCCTCGTTTTGAATACTTTGATGTTGAGGCAGGGAGAAGAACAACGATCGAGATGAAGCAAGATAACTCAATTTCAAGAAGAGAGGATAGTCGTACAAAGTACTTAAACTGGTTCAACGAATCATATCTTACGACTGATCAAAGCTGTTAAATGCCTTTTAAAGCCTCTTTTTCATCCAGATCCTAGCCTGCGGGTTTGGTGTGGACACCATCCCGGTGTTGTAATCCGGAGGCCGGACCCCTTCCACTTCAGCTTTGACATCGTAATGAAGAAGAATGTGGGCGAGCATCGCTTTCAGTTCTGTGGCAGCAAAGAACCTGTTCAAACATTGTAAGAAACTTATAACGACTATGCAGGAATTGTTCACCGTCCAGGACACGCATGTTTTCCATGACCAAAGACGAGGTGGTCTATGCCGGTCGAGATCATGTGACGGTTGAACACGCTCTCCTCGGTAGCCTCCGCTTTCTCGTCTCGCATCCTGGAGAACCGGAAACCATCGAAGACGTCAGCACGATCGTAGAATGCTGTATAAAGCTCAGCAACAGTATTTAAATCATGGTGTTGAAAGTACCTGGGTCATAGTGAACCGGCCGAGCGGATACAGTGACGAATGCGCCGTGGGGGATTATTAACCCGTCCGAAAATTTGAACCCGTCGGGATGGACAACCTTGCGCAACATGGCCACTGTTAAGCTTTTTAACTGATAATTTACAGGATCATGAGGCGTCATTTATTACCGGGCCCATTTCCATTTAGTCGCTGGGATTCTCGGATAAAGCTGTCGATCCGGTGCATGCTATTCAGTGCGGACTTGGTCCATCCTTCTTCACTGATTACGTGTTCAGCTTCCTCTCGCATAGGTTGAATATGCTCAGGATGCACGGTTAGGTCATAGAGCGCATGCGTCAATGCCTTCCGGAAGATGAGCGACCAAAATATCTGCACTGTCTTCGGGGTGACATACCATGGAGGAGGTGTGGATAGCGGCCATATTGATTGAGAGGATACGCGCAGCGATTGCTTCAGGGGTGCGTTCGTTTCCTTTGGCGAGTTCCAATAGCCAGGAGATGAGATCATTCTACTGTGGGTTTCAATTATCGTTCAACAGTTTCGTTCATTGGTAAAATCGCACGGGCTTTCCAGGCCAATCGGGGCCAAGTTCTTCTTCTTTCGCCAGCCGCTTCTCGATCATGGGCCCCACAAATTTTAAGACTTCTCGAAGACGTTGTTTGCGTGTCACGATGAGCGGTGCTACAATACTGGAGAGTTGAATTTTAGCTTTTGAATTCATTTGAATGGATATAACAAACGGCTTCATGAATTCAGGGAAGTACGAGAGCCGGTGGCCGCGTTGAACTACATCTATTGTGTTTTCGATGTTCAGAATTAAATATTCCATTTCTCTGCCTGACTTCCGGATTCATGGTCAGCTTCTTTTGTGGATAATAGGGGCTTACATAGAGGCAGGCCGACAAATAAGCGGTTGCTCGTACGGGCGACAACCTGCATAATGCTGGGTAATACGGGCACAATCTTCCAGTCTATAGATTGCAGATTAGTGGAGGGATGAAAATGAATGAGTGATTGGCACCTTCTTCTAAAGAAAGTACTTCTTTGAATGCTTGCTGGATTTCGTCCCGCACCTCAGGGAAGCACCGGCCAAGGTTCCTCGTCAAACTCGTCCGCACAGTAAGTTGATGATACGGATTGCTCATCAGCTCAGCGCCTATGGTGTATTTGCCCTGAATACTCTGCGAAAGGACCCGGTATCAGTGCAGGGATCATTGAATGAAAGGGGGAGTGTTTACATCTGCTGCGCCTTCATAGAAAGAAAGGACATTGTCGGGGGCAGTTCCAACCTCAGTAACGTGCTTGGGTCCGGTAACGATATAATCCCAGCGAAAGAGGCGGGGTACTCGGAAAACCCCATCTCGGTATTGATCATAGCCTTGTTGGACGACTTCCGATGGATGGTGGAGGAAATGGTAGGCTGCTTTATACGAAGAAATGATGCCGGCGGAACCAATGATGGCGGGCGTGGAGTGCTGTGAGTTAATCAGAACACCTAGTAATACCTCGAGACTTGACACCGACCTTTTGACCATAAACTGACTTGTGAAGCCATACAATCGAAATTATCGCGGCAAGTCCGTAGAGAAGAGGGAGAGCATTTTCGTGCATGACGTTCTTGAGCGATATGATGGGAGGGGAAGAGACGTTGAAGTTCTGGAGCTGGAGATATATATACTCACGTCGAATGCCATCACAAGAGAAGACCGTTTGATAGCAGCGGTTGTAGTTCTGGTAATTGAGTGATTCAGAGGTGCTGAAAGGTCGGAAAGTAGGATATTATAAAGACCAAATGACCGTCTTCCGTTTCATCATGTCCTCCCCGGAATGTTTGGACGGTGGCACAAGCGTTGCATTACACTAGGTCCACAAGACTTCACAGGGTTTTTCAAGGATTCGGGCCTATGACACTAGATAGATTCCTACCATCGGGCCTGTGACATAGAAAGATTTGTCAAGTCTGAGCTCTCGACGTGCGAAATCCAAAAGGCGCGAGGTGGTTTCGTGGTTCTTCTGGTTCCAGTTGTGAAGGTGCAGCCCAAGGGGTATTCACCGGAAGAAGCCGAGACACTGGGTCGATAGGTAGGTAGGTCCGAGGCAGTCTTATTTCACTTTTTGGAATCTGCTTGGATCACTCTGAAAATGCATTTAGAAGGGTCGGGAAAAAATCGAGTTTTTTGGAGGGGCTCGAGGGTTAAAAAATACTTGAACATCCTCGAAATCCATTTCAGATGGAAGTAATTTGTGTCAATTGCGCCTAGATAGGCCTCAGATTTAGGCATAAAATCCCGTTTCTGCCGTCATTTGCGTGGGAAAATGGCTCGGCTAAGCTCGCTTAGGCTCGGCTAATAGGTAGGTAGGGCCTGGAGAGCCTTATTGCACTTTTCCGACCCTGTGTGGAAAATTTTAAGGGTGAATACCCCTTGGTGCAGCCGGTATTTGGTATGGCATGCAGACGATTTATCAGATGAGAAGACGTTTAATTGAGTTCGGGGACTCTGGGCTTGAAGGGTGACAAGATCTCAATGCAACGCCTTGTGCAAAATTGGCTAAAATTGGGCTCTTTTTTGCCAACTGTCGATTCTTCGAGAGCCGTCGCTGAGCGCTTCGTATCAGTACTATGATTGAGCTTGATGCAAAAAATGGGTGCCTGCATGAGAATCTTGAGTGGCTCTGGCGTATGAACATTGAACAGCAGGGGAAGTGGGCAGTGATTCGGGAAGAGAAGAGCCGGCTTGATCCGATGTGTTCCAAAAATTTAACCATATACTACATTTAAAAAATACCCGGATTTATTATGCTTCTGCGGGTACTCGCGAATCAACATACACACATTACTGAGAAACATGATGCATTCCGGCCAATCTCCCAACACAGATCCTTCACGTCCGTGGTTCCATTCGCGGACGCCACAAAACTCACTTCCTCAAGCGTCTGGCAGGTCTCCGCCAGACTTAGCACGCAGTCCCGCACATCGCCTCCAGCGGAAGTTCTTTGATTCAAATCGGTGGAGGGTGTCGGTAGTTGACTAAAGCGCAAGTGTGAATATGGTGCGAAGTCATCCAGCGACCACGCGTTTTTGAACGGCAGTAGCCCGCGCCACACCTCAAGCATCGGAGCACAAAGTGCACCCAGTCGGCGGACAACAGCAGACACCATGTAGGGTTCTACATCCTTCCACTGGAACAAATCGAAATCGAGCTCTTTCAATGCTGTGAGGGGTCCTGCTGTCGATAGTGCATCCAACATTCCGTCGACGCATAACATTATGTGCTCGCCTTCGTCGAAGCTAGAGTTGAGAGTAAGAATCTCGAGCTTTGATGCAGCGCATGCCTGCGCGGGCCATCATCTCGACGTTCCGGCAATGTCCTTTGAACACCCGCAAGTTTGGCAGGAAGTACGGATGCAACTTGGTAGCCGCATCGAAAACCAGTGCAACCGGGCAGAAGGTCGGACTTCCTCTTCTGGGGCGGCAAGTGCAGGCCAGGTGCAGTTCCGCGAGAGTGCCATGATGTGCCGAGAGGAAAACATAGAAGCCGGGAGGGCAATAGAGTCCATCGTCTGACGTGCTGGTCAGCATCAGGGAGCGAAGGAAAGGAAAATGCAAGGCAAAGAATGGGCGCCATGTGGATTTCCCTGAGTTCACCGTCAATAATGAGGGACGTGAGTGACGATGTGGCAGCAGTGAATAATGTTACAAGGCGTGGAAAGAGGACTTCTGTGAGGGTGTCAGTACACTTTCCTGATCATATGCAGTGTATCGACTTGCCATTGTTGCCGACTCCTTCAGAAAATTCGATACACTTGGGTTTCGCGAGCCGTAGGAGCTCTGGACGATTCACTGCAAGTATGAGCCCCCGCACACCCGGTGCAGAAAAATGTAGCTCATCAAGCTGCAAGTCGTCCAAAATCTGAATAAAATCGGTGGTCTGCTGTGTCCCAGCGTGGCGAGAGAGGTCGCCTATGATATTGACGCGCCTCAATCGTGTCAAGTTCCTCAAAGAGGGGAGGTGTATTAGCCCTACGGTATGGTGAAGTGGCTCTGAGTTGGATCGGGAGTCGAGAGTC